CTTCTAGGGGTTAGAATATTAGATAGTATAATTCAAAAACATAAAACGATCTCTTTGCAGTTAACTGTCCCCATGCTAATTGTTATCACTGCCTATCCTCTAAAGTTATTTGGGATATACGTTATTCAAGTTTGCAATCCTACAATAAAAGAAATATAATTCTTTTCCCCCTACTACAGTCTTCTCTCTCCCTCCCTTGTGTATTTTATTATTATTTTTTTTTACTTGGTATTCCTGCATGGAATAAGGAAAAATAAAACCCATGACATGCTCTTTCTGCAATGAACCATGTGATTGAGGCAGGAAGGAAACTTTGGGATAATGGCAAAACCCTTGGATCTCAAACTGAAACATCTAACTTGAAAGCTTGATTCTTCCACTTAATAACCTGACGAGCATAGGAAATTCGCTTAAATTTTGTTAAGTATATAATGGGGACAGTCATGACTAACCTACCTACTTCAGGGTGTTGTTATATGACTCACTTTATGTTTCAGTTACAGGTCATACATTTTATTCTGAATCATTAATTCTGAAAATCAGAATATAAAGGGCAGGGATCGGCTGTGGGATAATCCCTCATAAAGCTAAGGGCTTATCTTTTCAAGGATGATTTGCGATGCATCATTTAAAAGTCTTGCATAAAACTGGTTGATGTTCCCAGCCACTAATAATTTTCTTTGAGTACAGCAGCACTAAAGGAAACTGTATAAAGCTAAGTCCTCATAAACCTTGTAAAGATAGCAGGTTCAGTGCCATGGCCCCACTCGGGGCAAAGAAGAGCTCAACTAAAAAATATTATTTCTCATTAAAATAAAGGGAAGTAGGAGCCAAGTGCCAAGACTGAACATATTATTTCCTTCACAGCCCTGATTAAACTATGAAGTTTAGTTCTTATATTTAACAGACTAGAGCCCCCATGATATCAGCGAAAGTTCTATTTAGCATCTAAATATATGCCAGTCATAGAAATTTTAGTGGACTATCTGTGACATGGCTTCATTTCATTCTTTAAAAACTGCTATATGTGTATATATCACATACCTTGCCTTTACCCATTACTTGCCCTCCCCTGCCGTACCCTGGAGAGTGTGGGAACCGTCTGAGTTTTTTCTATACCTTAACTTTTTTATAACGTCTAATTTGTCAAGAAGCATAGACTATCTCTCTTCTAAAACTTTACACTTTCAGGGGTGCCTGGGTGGCCCCGTCGGTTAAGCATCTGACCGGCTCAGGTCACGATCTCACAGTTCATGGGTTCGAGCCCCGCGTCGGGCTCTGTGCTGACAGCTCAGAGCCTGGAATCTGCTTCGGATTCGGTGTCTCCCCCTGTCTCTCTGCCCCCTCCCCTCAAAAATGAATAAACATTGAAAGAAATAAAAAAAAAAAAACCCTTTACACTTTCAGCAAACTATTATTGAGCCTTTCCATGGACACAGAGTTCTAACAGGCAGAGGGAACATACAGGTGACCGAAGCAAGATGCCTGCTCTCGAGGAGTTTACAAACCAGAGGCCGCACTTTCACACTGCATGTGTAAGATTGTGCTAATGGTCCTGCACTGAGAGCTGTCTGCATGCAAAATGCATGTGCTACAGCAAAGTGATGTCAGTAACACTGGATTTTCTACAAAAAGACGTAAGCACAGTTCGTAATTGCACATATAAGCCACTTAAACGGGGATGTTTGTAAATTGGTCACTGAAAGGGAAGTTTCATGTCTACGTCAAAGTTTCCATTACGGCCTCTCTTCCCCGTTTCTGAAACAAATTAAAAGATAATGCGGCACTCTGATCAGTTGGCGTCGAAGGGTTCAGAGGAATTTCAGTGAAAAGAATGTCCGAGCTACTTTTGAGGTGACTTTGGAGAAAACTTAGCACCGCTTTATGGTCTTTCCAAAATCTGGTCCAGAGATGAGCCTCCTCATTGCCAGTGTCATGTGAACGGAGGCGAGAGTCAGCCACCTGGGGCATTCAGAGAAAGGCGATGATAGCCAGAGACTCCAAAAGAAAAGCGGTG